GAGTGGGGCGGGGGGGGGGGGGGGGGAATGCCGTGGATGGTTGAAAGGATGCAGGGATGGATCCTATTGGTTCTAATTGGGGCGTCGTTAACGAGCTCGTGGCAATTAGGCTCTGCAAGCTATATGCAGTCGCAGTGCCCCCTGCTGGTTGATCCAGCACAGCACCCCGCATGTCCCCCTCCCCTTCCCCATCGCGGGTGGATTCGAATCCATTGTTCCCCGTCTAGTTCGTTACGTCTCCAAATCAAACAATCGCTTAGTTGCAGCCGGTCGGGAACGAACGCTCAGTGGCCCCCAAACCAGTGGTTTTCAACTAGAAAATCCCCCGTGTCTAGCACGACCGGGCCCGAGGCAGAGAGGGCTGTGCGGGGATCCCCGAGCTCCTAGGTTGGCTTTTGTGGGGGAGCAGCTTACGGTCCAGGTGGCTCTGGCGGATCCCCTCCACGTCCTCGCCGTGGATGAACTGGTAGCAGCTCTTCCCCACCAGCTCCGAGGGGCAAAGGTCCATGTAGTCACTGACCCTGCGGGGGGCGAGGGGGGCAGGTGGTTGCAGAAGCAAAGAGAGAGGTGGACAGACCCGGGGAGGGGAGAGAGGCTGCCCCATGCCCCAGCCGGAGGGGCACGAGGGCCGGGTATTGCTCCACTGATCCCAAGAGCAATTCAGTGCAGAGCCACTGCATGAGGCTGGGGGGGGGGTCTCACCCCCATGCCCTCCCTTGATGCTCCATGTGTCAGGGCGGTTTTAGGGCTGGGCTGTGCCAATGCTCCTGGCACCACCCCACAGGGTCCCAGTGGGAGGGTCTTGCCCCCACGCTCAGGCTCAGCCCCACGCTGCACTGGGCAGGAAGGGATCTCCCCCCTGCTCAGACTGGTCTGCACTGGGGGGTTTGCCTTCCTCTGCAGTGGGGGCACGGGCCTGGGGCCTCTGCAGCGTCCAGGACCCCCGGCAGCAGCAGGACGTTGGCAGCCACGGCCCCCCTGTATCCCAGGGCAGAGGCAATGCCCAAGTGCGGGGTCAGGGCTGGCGGTCGTGCTGCTCAGAGGTTCGATGCCAGGTGTGTCTGGGCTACTTTGGACGGGGCTGATCCTGCCTCAGGCCAGGGCTGGACTGGATGCGACCCCCGGAGCTGCCTTCCAGCCCCGCGACTTTGGGATTTCTAGGAATGGCACCAGAACCTGGCCCCCTGCACCCAAAGGTGCTCAACCAGTCGCCTGAGTCAGTTCATACAGCCACGCCCAAGGGGACACCTGGGTTGTGCGTGCAGGGAGATGGGAGGAACTGGATGTCCTGGGGGGCGGGTGCATGTGTGTGCGCGTACGCGCGTGTGTAAGAGAACTAGGCACCTGGGTTCGATGTATGTGAGGTATCTGGACACGTGGGTTCTTTGTGCATGTGTGTGTATTTGCACCAGGGTGGACACCTTCTCTGGGCCTGACAATCCCTTTACACCCATCGGGGCCTTGGGCCCCTACCCAAGCCAGGCCTTGACCCTGTCTGCTCTCCACCAAGGCCTGAAGCCCGTCATGGGCCACGATCCCAGCGGATCCCCCCTGAGGGACCCAGCTCCGTGGGGGGCAGGATGCGGCCCGGGCACGCACCGGCTCTCGCAGTAGACGATCTGCAGGTCCAGGTTGACGCGGAAGACGAACATGTGGCACTCGATGCGCACCTCGCTGAGCGTGGATGGGGGCAGCGTGTGGGCCAGTGCCACCAGCCCCATCAGCCGGCCCCGCGCCCCCGGGCCGTGGGCGAAGGCGGGCAGGCGCGGGGGCAGGCGCCCCGTCACGTGGATCACCTGCCAGGGGGGAAGAGGGGGCGTGAGAATCTGGGTGCTACCTCCCCGTCCCTAGGGGCACCTTCCTCTTACACATGCGCACACCCACACAGACGACCCAGGCGTCCCACACACACAGTACCCAGCACACAACCCAGCCATCCGGGACACCCCACACAAAGAACCCAGGTGTCTGGGACACCCCCACCCCCCTCACATACATGGGTTCATACACACACACATGCACACAGAACCCAGGAATCTGACACACACACACATGCACACCCCCCGCCCGTGCCAGAGGTCCCAGGCTATGGGCTGAGGGAGAATCCCTATCAGCTATTAGCAGTATGGGGGGCATGCCACACACAGTGAGCGCCAGTTGCCACTAGCAGGGGCAACACGTGCATACACACAACCCAAGCAGCCGGGATGGACGCACGCACACGTGTGCACACGTACAGAAGGCACATGCTGTGATGAGCTCCCTTGTCAGGGGATTGGGGGGGGTCTGTGGAGGCCCCCCCCCGAGCCCCCTTCCCCTGCGTACCTTGTAGCCGGACGTCTTGACGTGCAGACCCCGCTTGGTGAGGGTGGACTTCATGCGGATGAAGAAGGCCCGGGCCAGGGCGTCACGCTCGGGGCGGCCTGGGGGGAGGTGCCGGTGTCAATGAGACCCCCCCCCTCGCCCCCCCTCAACCGCACGAGTGTGACACAAGGTGGGATGGGGCCAGGGAGGGCCTTGGGCCAAAGCAAGGTTGCCCCTTCCTGCCCCCCAGTCCTATACACAAACACATACACTCCCCCCCGATGCTACACACGCACACACGTGTACACCTTGGTCCTATATACACACACCTTGTTCCCACACACATTGATCCTATACCACAACACCCTGAGCCTTTACACACCCACTGAACCTATACACGAATGTGCATCCACCAACCCACACCACCCCCATCCTATACCCGCAACACCCTGAGCCTTCACGTGTGTGTGTGTGTGTGTGTGCGCGTGCACACACACACACACACACACTGCTCCTATAGTGCCCCTCTCCCTGAGTTTTCACAGGCACACCCTGATCCTATACACACACACATACACCCCACTTTGATCCTATACACTCCCTCAATCTTACACACACGTGCTGATCCTATACACATACCTTGATCCCATACGTATATACACACACGCCCCGATTCTATACACACCACATGTGCAGCCTGGTCACTCACACCCCCCCCTTGATTTTATACACACACATTCCTTGAGCTTGCACACCCGCCCCCCCCC